TGAGGTTCCTCCGCCGCCATCTTTAAACAGCGCCGCACTGCCGACCGCTTCCGGGTTATTAATCGCCCTCCTCCCGGAAGGGAGCCCCTCCTCGTGGCCCCTCCTTCGCAACGCCCCTAGCAACAGGCTCCCCTTGGCGGTTGTCAGGGCGGGAGCAGCTCCTGCGGGCCCTGGAGAGCCCGGGGGCCCGTGACCCCAGGAGACGCGGGGGGCGCGGGCGCGCGCTTCCACATCCCCACCCTCCTGAAGGTCATGAGGTGCTAAGGGCCCCCTGGAGTTGCTTCTGTTTTCGGTCTACTGGACTTTAGCTTTAAAACGCAGGTTGTGTAATTGAGATAAGGAGCAAGATGGAATTAAAGTCACGGAAGGCAACATCCCTTCTGCGCGTGCACTCGAGGTACACGAGCCACCAAAGCTGCAGTGCGGAGCGCGGAGCCACCACGAGACAGGAAGTGGTGCCAACATCCTGATGCCCTTCAGAGCCCTTAAATCGAGACCTCTCGCCCCTCGCCACTGAGCCTGTTCTCTGCAAGCTTTGAAGACCTGTTTCTAATAAGAGGACATCTTTCCCTTGATGTCGAACCAAAAGCCTCGACCTGGTTGAGGAAGCAGGTCCATTTAAAAGCATGGACTTAAATCCATAATCCGAACACGTGGAAGGTGGAGACAAGGATCAGAGAGTTCAAGGTAATCCTCCAGTTTCAGGACAAGCTTGGCTTCATGAGACCCTGTCTCAAAACTGGGCCCAAAAGTGACCATCCTTGCTAATTTTTACCAAAGCTTCCCCTATTCCTTGGGTTGTATCTCTAAACTGTTAAATGGGGGCAGACCAGTAGAAAAAAGAACACTCTCATTTGCAGGCCCAAGGCACCCTGAAATGCAAACACCAAACTGAATTTGCAGGAGGAAGGTGTTCATTTATTTGGTTGGTAGCCTTGAAGGGTAAATGGGCTATATCCCTAGCTGCAATGCTTACAAGCCTGGCTATAGCCAGCACTGAGCCACAAAGGGACTCCTTTTTATTCTCCAGTGTAGCAGTTCTCTGTCCTGAGCAGTCCCAACTCCAGCTCCTGTATGAACTCCCTAGTCCAGGTAACAGAGACCATGGTAGAGTTGTTTTGTAGTTCTCTTCAAGATTAAGAAAAAACTACAGGCTAGGGGGCATGGTGCACACCATTAATTCCAGCACGCAGGAGGCAGAGGCAGGTGGATCTCTTCCTCTACAAGACAGAAGCCAGCCTGGTCTACAGAAATTCTAGCTTACTGAGGGCTACACAATGAGACTCACAAAACAAACGTAAAAAGAAAAGCCAAATAGAAATCGTGTCTTTTGTTAATTTTATTGTCTTACTGTATGGGAGGCTGTATGTACCAAGAGGCTTGTGTGAAAGTCAGAGTACAACTTTAGGAAACCCATTCTCTTTCCATCTTTATATGGGCTCTGGAAATAAAACTTTGGTCGTCTGATGGGGGAAGTCCTTCTGTGTATATGTTTGTCTAAATAAAGCACGGTTGGCCAATAGAGAAGCAAGCTAGGCAGGACTAGCAGAGGAGGAGGATTCTGGGAAACGTAGGAAAGGGACAGAGTCGACATGTGATCCCAGGAAGATAGGACGATAAGTCTTTATAAAATATATAGATTAGTAGTTATGTTTGATAATTAAGACTGAGCTAGCAAATGAGAAATCCTAGTCATTGGCCAGCAGTACTGTAACTAAGTAAGACTCTGTGTGTTATTTTGGGGCCTAAACGAGGCGGAAGAAATCAGGCGGCTGGCTGAAAGAGTTATCATACCACTCGTCAGATTTGAGGCACACACTTTACCCACTGAGCCATCTTGCCAGCTCAGCTTTTCCTTAAATATTTTTTGAAGATGTACTTATGTGTATGTATACGTATCACATGCCTGGGGAGGCTAGAAGAGGCCTCCGGGGGTGGAGCTGGGGCTCACAATAGTTGTGAGCTACCCAACCTGGCAGTTTCCAAGAGTGCAGATGGACTATGGTCACAGGAAGGCATTCTATAATGAGGTGGGAACCAGAGCCTCAGCTTATAACCATTAAAAATATATATTCTTTTTGTTTGGTTGGTTGTTTTTTCAAGACAGGGTTTCTATGTGAGGCTTTGGCTGTCCTGGAACTTGCTCTGTAGACCAGGCTGGCCTCAAACTCACAGAGATCCACCTGCCCCTGCCTGCAGAGTACTGGAATTAAAGGTGTTCACCACCACCTACCTAAAAAAATATTCTTTTTAAGATTGTATTATTATGTATACAACATTCTGCTTCCATGTATATCTGCACACCAGAAGAGAGTACCAGATCTCATTACAGGTGGTTGTGAGCCACCATGTGGTTTCTGGGAATTGAACTCAGGTCCTCTGGAAGAGCAGACAGAGCTCTTAACCCCTGAGCCATCTCTCCAGCCCCCTAAAAAATAGATTCTTACTACACATTTGTGTGTGTGTGTGTGTGTGTTGGTGTGTGTGAGACTGTGCTGTGAGGATGTGGAGAGGTCAGAATTGTAGGAACTGATTCTCTCATTCCATCATGTGGATCCAACTTAGGTCATCAGGTTTGGCAGCAAGCACCCTTATCCTCTGAGCCCTCCCCTCCCCCGAGTCTGTAACACACACACCCCAAGACAGGGTTTCTCTGTGTAGCTTTGGAGCCTGTCCTGGAACTTGCTCTTGTAGATCAGGTTGGTCTTGAACTCACAGAGATCTGCCTGCCTCTGCCTCCCAAGTGCTGGGATTAAAGGTGTGGGCCCCCCCTGACTGGCCATGGATGATTTTTTTTTTTCTTTCTCTCACTATCTCATTTTTCTTTCTTTCTTTTTTTTTTTGTTTGTTTGTTTTTTTTTCTCTCACTATCTCATTTTTCTTTCTTTCTTTCTTTCTTTCTTTTTTTTTTGTTTGTTTTTTTTTTGTTTTGTTTTGTTTTTCAAGACAGGATTTCTCTGTGTAGCTCTGGCTGTCCTGGAACTTACTCTGTAGACCAGGCTGGCCTTGAATTCACAGAGCTCAGCCTACCAACCTCTGCCTCCCAAGTGCTGGGATTAAAGCCATGTGCCATCACTACCTGGCTTCACAGGTGACTTAAAAAATTTTAATGTGTCTGTGGGTGAAGGGGTATGTGCACTTACACGCAAAAACCCACGGAGGCTAGAGACATCTGATCTGCTGGAGTTAGAGGTGGTTGTAAACCATGTGATGTGGGCGCTGGAAACCAAAAGCAGGTCCTCTTCAAGAGCAGTATATGCTTTCAAACGCTAAAACATCTTTCCATCCTTTTACTATTTGAAACAATAAAGATCTTATATAGCATTCACTCAGTTTTCCTACTGGTGGTAGGCACACAGCAGGACATTAGTCCTCACACAGTAAAGATAAGGAGTGTCTGCTTCTTCACAGGGCCCTTCCTTCTCTGTTTTACAGTCATACTCTTCTCAGCCCTTCCTGATCCCTTCCAACCTTTCATGTTTTCTATTAAACCCTTGTTGGCTTGCATTATGTAAGAGGCCTGGCAGAGTGGTAGTGGCGCATGCCTTTAATCCCAGCACTCGGGAGGTAGAGGCAGGAGGATCTTTGTGACTTCCAGCTTAGCCTGGTCTACAGAGTGAGTTCCAGGACGGACAGAGCTGCTACACAGAGAAAACCCTGTCTCAAAAAACATGCTGAGGACTGAACCCATGTCTTCTCACATACTGTGTTCATTTTCTACTGCTGAGTGACACTGGCAATCAAGCCCTTGCTTTTAATTTTGTATTTTATGTGTATCTGGGACAAGGTCTCATATAACCCAGGCTGATTTCCAACCCACTTGTCTCCAGCTCCTGCGTGCTGATATTGGAGGCACGGACAATCATTCTGGGCTTGCTAAACTCTTTTTAATGTCCATATATCTGGTGATACATAGGTATTCTCTTACTCCTATACCATCTGTCCTGCACCTTTCACCACTTTCTGGCTTCTGATTATCACAAAGCATCTTAACCCCACTTGCTGATTTGCCAACAATCCCTAGTACAGCCCTACATACTGTCCCTGCCTCCCAATTCACCATTCCACAAATGTCCAAGGCCAGTGACAAAAACAGGCAATACAAGTTGGGCTAGTGGCTCAGATCTGTAGTCCCAACATGAAGGAAGCTGAAGCAGGAGGATTACTGAGTTCTAGACCAGTCTAGGCTACAGAGTAAATCCCACACCAGCCAGGACAGCAATATGAAAAAGACTGGTGTGGGGGCTAGGTGAATAGCTCAGTGGGTAAAGTGTTTGCTGCAAAACCATGAAGACCTGAGTTTAGATACCCAGTACCCACATAAAAGCTGTGTGTGATGGCATGCCCCTGTAACTCCAGCACTGGAGGGATGGATGCTGGTGGATCCTGGGGTCTTGTCCTGCCAATCTAGCCAAAACAAGCTTTAGGTTAAAGAGAACCCCCCCACCCCAATAAGGTGAAGAGTGACTAAGGAAAATGCCTGGTCAACCTGCCCATACGCACAGGCTTGCGCACCCACTTGTATACACACCCACCCATAGCTAGGGACATAGCCCAGAAAATAGAGTGCTTGCCTGGTATGTACAAAAAGCCAGGCACCACATAAAAATTGGACATGTTATTATTGAATGCCTGCAATTCCAGCATTCTGGATGTAGAGAACCATAAATAGGTGGTCATCTTCAGCTACATAGGGAGTTTGAAGCCAGCCTGGGGTGTATGAAACCATGTCTCAAAACAATAGCTAACAAAACAAAACAAAACAAAAACCCAGCACTGGCCAGGCGTTGTGGCAAACGCCTTTGGTCCCAGCACTCGGGAGGCAGAGGCAGGAGGATCTCTGTGAATTCAAGGCCAGCCTGGTCGCCAGAGCGAGTGCCAGGATAGGATCCAAAGCTACACAGAGAAATCCTGTCTCGAAAAACCAAAAAATAAAAAAATAAAAAACCCAGCACTCGCTGTTCCTCCAGGGGTCCAGAGTTCAATTCCCAGCACCATATAGCAGTTCACAACTATCTATAATGGGATCCAATGCTTTCTGTCTGGTGTGCAGATGGGCATGCAGACAGGCATCCATGGACATTAAATAAATAAATCTTTTTAAAATTTACTTTTTGTTGGTTTTTTGAGACGGTTTCTCTGTGTAGCTTTGGAGCCTGTCCTGGCAATCACTCTGTAAACCAGGCTGGTCTCGAATTCAGAGATCCACCTGCCTCTGCCTCCTGAGTGCTGAGATTAAAGGCGTGCACCACCAACACCTGGCTTTTTTTTTTTTTTTTTAAGCTGAAAGGCCAATAGTAAGGAAGAAGGGATGAGATATAGGCAAAACTTCAGGCAAGGAGTTAGGTTGGGGAAATTGAGGCTCAGAGGAGAACGAAAGGAAGAAAAAGATGCCAGGGGCTAGCCAGAGGAAGCAGGAAAGTAGGACATACAGAATGAAAAATAAACAGCCCCAAAGCAAAACATAGATGAATAGAAACAGGTTAAAATAAGTTAAAAAGAGCTAGTGAGACATGTGTAAGCAAAGACTGAGCATTTATAATAAGTCTGTATGTTGTCTTTTATTTGGGAGCTGGTAAGCAGCCCAAAGAAAATGCCAACTACACCAGGGTCTAGGGGTGCAGTGAGTACAGCAAAGGCCAGACCTGCAGAGCTGAATAGGGACGAGACTTTGGAGCAGTTAGCTGAGTTGATAGTCACCTGTAGGATCCAGGCCATTGAAGCATAAGGCAGTGGGGAGCAGAGCAAGGGGGCACAGGGCGAGTTCTACCCACACTCCTGGGGGCTCATTCGGAAATGTCATACATGCAAGTCACTTTGTGCCACCCAGAGGTCTAATCAGCTGGTATACCAGTCCTGAATGCCCTTGCCCCAAGAACTGAGCTCTGGAGATCAGAACTAAAGCCCAGGTGGGTGCCTTTAGGCTATGTTCCTCTCCAGAGGCTTAGAATCCATCTCTTCTTTCCACACTGGCCGGCAAAACCGAACCTCATGTTAGAGGAAGTCTCCCAATCCTTCTGGCAGTAAACTGAGGGCTACTTGCAACTTCTGGCTATAACATTTCTTAGCTCTAGCCCACTTCCTGCAGTGTCAGCAGCAAGGATGTGCTTGATTGCAGGGCACATCAGGTCAGGTGATCACAGTTGGCCACCCAGATCATCCAGGATGATCTCCCAGCTCAAGGCGGGAGGACCATAATCACATCTGCAAAATGGTCTTGGCCATTAATAAAACGACTTCATGGATTCCTGGGATCAGAGAAAAGACATTATCCTGTCTGTCATCATCTTTACAAACTAGACTTGGTGACTTGCTAAGGTCACTCTGGAGTCTCCAGACTCTCAGCCTGCCCCATCACACACCAGACAGGACACAAGATATGGCTCAGAGCACAAAACTTTAAGTTGTGGGTCATCATTTAAGGGTCCCTGACTTGGTGAAAGCAAGCCAGTGAAAGGTGATAGAGTCCAGGCCTATGAGGATGACTCCAATCATGACTAGTCAGTGGGAATCTTAAGCCCTCCTTCAGCCCACCCCCACGTCCCGAGATGTTTAGCCTGCTTAAGGACTCAAACTAGGGTCTAGGGATTTATAGCCAATTGGCTTCACTCCAGCCTGAACTGACTCAAGACAGAACTTTGGTTTCGAGCAGTTCTTCTGTGACAGGGTGTCTGTCATCTATTTCTTGAGTTCCAGGGGCACAGAAATAGGAGATAACTAATCCTTGGCAGAGAAGTGATGTTACCATAGTAACTGCAACAAAACTCTTCTGGGATTGCATCTTCTCTTCAAGACAGCCCATGGCTCTGACATCAAGGTATAATCTGTGCCATGGACAGAGCCAGTCTGCACAGCTGAACCTCTTCTGGCAGCAGAGGCTTGGCAAGGAGGGCCCCTGCCACCCCACCTGCCTCCATCACTTCCAAGGTGAGAAAGCTGATTGACCCCCAGCTTTCACCCCACCCTGAGCTGCAGTGAGGAAAGGCTCCCAATGTGATATTGTGAAGGTGGGGACGGCTATGAGGCAACTTTGGCCAAGACTTTTGAGGCCATCCCTTCATTTTTACCCATTTACTTAGTGAATTTTTTTGTTTTGTTTTAAGAGAGTGCTGAGCTGGTGATAGTGCACATCTTTAATCCCAGCACTTGGAAGGCAGAGGCAGGTGGATCTCTGTGAGTTTAAGGCTAGCCTGATCTACAAAATGAGTTCCAGGATAGCCAAGGCTTATTACATACAGAAACACGGGGGTGGGGGGGTAGTATCCTTACTATGTAGCTCAGGCTAGCCTGGAAATCAGGATCCTCCAGCCTCAGCCTCTGGGTGCAGTGCTGGGATCACATACAGGTTTGTGTCACCACACTAGGTTCTCAAGATCCAGCCCCTGTGCCCACCTTGTAACATTCTCTGTCTACTCAGTAGGCAACAGGTTCAGGCAGCTGGTCTATAATCCCCCGGCCTGCCCCCCCCCCCCCCTTTATTTTTTCGGGCCAGGGTTTCTCTGTATTGTTTTGGAGGCTGTCCTGGAACTCACTCTGGAGACCAGGCTGGCCTCAAAACTCAGAGATCCACCTGTCTCTGCCTCCTGAGGGCACTGGGACCAAAGGTGTGCGCCACAAATGCCCGACCAATCCCTTCAATCTTAAGACACCAACTCTTAGGGAAGCATCCTTGGCCTTGGGTGTATAGGCACCATCAAAGACCAAGAAGAAAAGCCAGGCATAAAGGGGATAGAGGGGAGTCAGCTCTACCCGAAGCTTTCAGAAAACAAGCCTTCAGAAGGGCACTAGAAAGCTGTGCTTAGATATCTAGGGCCTAAAATTAGCAACAGCCCTTGGTTCTCACCTGTCATTTCTGCCCACTGTTCCAGCCCCAGGTCCACAGGGAATACTAATACTGTCCCTGTGTCTATCTGGAAGTCAACCAAGTCATCCAGCAAAGCATGAAAAGTGAGGTAAAGCCATTTCACCCTGGGGGCGGGGTGGCAGCACTGGGTACCAGAGTGCTGCTTCCTAGGTGCCACATCAATAAAGGCCATCTCCAGCTCCTTGCCTGCCCTGGCTCCTCCTGAAAATACTGAGGAGGTACAAGGAAGACCACTCAGCCCATAAGCATTTACAGAGTGCTAAAAGGGGCCCTGAATTTGACATAAAGTGGTAGCAATACCCAGCATGAAATGCCTTGGGCTCCACCACACCCACTACTTGCAAGGCACTGCACATGGATACCCAAGCCAGGAAAAAAAGCTTGGTAAAGGGTCACAGCTTCAGAGCTGGCCTTAAAGATGGAGCCCTATGCATGCACTTACAGGGAGCCAATGAACCTGGCACAGACAAGGGAACTGGAAGGGATAAGCAGCACGGTGGAGGGCTCAGTAACAACAGGTATTTTCCAGATGCTGAGAACCATTTAAATAAGTGAAGTACAACTGACACACACCTAAGAAACCCAGCCAGGTGTTCCCCCGCAGACCTCAATCCAACACCATCCTCAGTTCCTGTGTGCTGGCAGGAGAGCACGATGTATCTCTGGAGCAAGGTTTAAATAAACTTTATTGTTACAAGGGGGACCCCGCCAAGCAGAAGCAATATGTGGTCCCAGTTGTCACCATGAAGACATCGAGAGGCCATGATTGCAGAAGAGGTGACTGGAATTGAATGGCATGATCCCAGGGAAGGCCAGTCAGGAATGCAGGAAACATGATCAAGATGGGCTGGCAAGAGTGGTCTAGTCACAGGATGAAGGGAGGGCAGCTCCTTTCAGTCCCGCTTCTTGTAGCTCTCCAGGTGTGACAGAACCCAGCCCGCAGGCAGGAGGCAACAGATGAAGCAGGAAGTGAGCCCAATGGCGATTTCCTACATAGAGCACAAGAAAGAAGGATCCCTCAGGGCAAAGATTCTGTAGATACTCCCAAATATGGTAGTCCTTAGGCACTGAAAATCAGTCCCTCAGGGAGACAAACTAAGGGAAGTCCAGCAGACCCACACTAGAGAAAGCAACTTGGGCCTGAGTTCAATCCCCAGCGTGTGCGAGGGAGAGACAAAGACACAGGGAGACTGAGGGGACATTGTTACAGATGTCAAGCCCATTCTTGGCCTTGATATAAAGGCCCTTTTAAAAATATTTATCTTTGGGGGGGGGCTCCATAGGCAGAACTCTTACTATGTACCCCAGGCTTGACCTTGAATTTCATTTCCTTCTGCCCCAAACCCCGTAGTCCTGGAAGTGCACTCTTGTGCCACCACACCTACTGGGTTGTGTGTGTACGTGTGGCTACGTGTGTGGTTTTTGATGTGTTTTTGTGGGAGGAACTTTTCAAGATTTATTTTATCTGCATATGTGTGCTGTATGTGTTGGAGGGTGTGATCACAGGTATGTGCTTGTGCTTTCACAAGGGCCAGGAGAGGTGTCAGGAGGCAACAGATGTTGGAGCAGAGTTAAAAGCTTCTGGCCTGTTACATGGTTGCCAGGACCAAAGATCCAGTCTCCATGAAATCATGCACCAAATGCTCTTAGGTGCTGAACCACCTACTTCTCCAGCTCCCAGGCCCTTGTTTTGAGACAAGGTCTCATTATGTTGCCCAAACTGTCCTCAATTCCTGAGCTCAGTCTTCCTGCCTCAACCACCCTCCCCCAGTAACTGGGACCACAGGCAGGCATGACTTGTCACTGTTTCCTCTGTGGTAACTCTTTGGTTCTAGCTCTAATTCAGTCCCCAACTGCCTGGATCCAGGGCCCGCTCTCACTTAAAATAGAAAAGCTTAAAAAAAAAAAAACAGGAGGAAGGGACCTGGGCTGGATGTAGCTTTTTAAAAAGCTCTGGGTTGGAGCTCCAGCACCACATAAACCAAAAGTGGTGGCACATGTCTGTAATCCCAGCACTAAAGAGATGCAAGTAGGATTATCAATTCAAGGTCAAATATGGCTACAAGTTCGAGGCTAGCCTGGGTTACATGAGACCCTGTCTCAATTAAAAAAAAAAAGTTTAAAAGGTGAAAATTGTCCACATAGCTATATACCCCTACAATTCTGAGAATCCCAAACGCCTAATGGGTCCTCTGCACCCCTCCTAAATAAAAATAGAAATAGCGGCAACAACCATTACCTTCGCTGCCAGTTATCAGACATTCGCCACCAAAAAATGGTGCGGCTTAGAGAGGCTGAGCAGCGAGTGAGCAACCAGGCAGGGCTGACGGGCTGACCCGAGCTCCAGGTACTTGGGAGAATAACCTAGGGCTTAATAGCACGCGAGCGACTGACTCGCCCCCTCCAGCGCTGCAGGCCGCCCCCAGCACCCTGCGGTCCCGCTCACCCCGACACCGAGCTGCTCCCGCGGCGGCTTCGAGTGGACCTGAGCGCGAGGCACCATGAGGCCCGGGGCCGAGCCAGTCAGGCCCCTCAACAGCAGCGGCGTCAGGACAGACATGACGGCGCGGAGCGACCAGACAAGGACCAGCGGGCGCCCAAGGTCAGGAAGTCAAGATGGCCACACCAGCCGGAAGTTCCGGCGCTGAAGTGACCTGACGCTGCAGCCCGGAACGATCTCGGAAGTGACGTCAGGATACGTCCCTCGCCCGCCTGGGCTGTTTCTGGCGCGCTCCTCGAAACAGCCAATCGACACCATCCTACCCCAGGTGGGAGGAGAAATGAGACACCTTTTGTCCCTCCCCTCCACTATGTTCGAGAGCGACACCTACAGCCACCCAATCACGCAAGCGAGAGTCTTGACTCCTCCCTCCATTCAGAGCTATCTGGCGTCTGCGGGCCGCCCCCGGCACCCTGCGGTCCCGCTCACCTAGGCTAGCGAGGTCACTGCAGCTGGTGACTCCAGCCTCCTAACCAGACGCCCCCGCTCTTAAAGACGCTAATAACCGGCGGTGGTGGCGCACGCCTTTAGTCCCAGCACTCCGGAGGCAGAGGCAGGCGCGTCTCTGAGTTCGGGGCCAGCCTGGTCTCCAGCGTGAGTTCCTGGGCAGCCAGCGCTACACAGAGAAACCCTGTCTCTTTAAATAAACACACACACGACATTGTTATTTTTATTTTGTGTGTAAATGTTTTGTTTGCAAGTCCATCTGTGCACCGTGTGCGTGCAGCGTGCACTGAGGCCAGAAGACGGTGGTGGGTCCTCTGGAACTGAAGTTCCGGGCCATAGTGAGCAGTCACGTGGGTGTTGGGAACTGAACTGGTCCTCTGTAAGAGCCGGGAATGCTCTTAACCACTGCAGCCCCCTCCATATCCCTCCCTCTCATTTACTGTTACCCCCTCAGACACTAGTTCCCATGTAACTTGTTAATTGTCCTCAACTTCTGCCTCCCTCCTTTCGTCTCTGTTGGGGAGATAGTTTGGATTTTTTTTTTAAAGTCTCCTGTAGCCCAGGCTGGCCTTGAACTCACCAAGTAGTTGAGGATAACCTTGAACTCCTGATTTTTCTGCTTCTACTTCCCCAATGTGGCTATTACAGGTATGTACCACCATGGCCAGCGACCTCTTTATCCATATGTCTCTCCACTGCCTTTATTCTCTCTGTCCCTCTCCCGCCTTCCTTCCTTCTTGCTTTATTTGACACACCCCTGACCAAGTGGTTCCCCCTTTGCTTTCTAGTCAAGTCCCAGACCCTGGATACTGCCCTAGTGCTTTCTTTTTCAATGTTCCATATTTTGTCCCTGCCCCTGGGTCCCCCTCCACCCCTCCAGGCTTTGGCCTTTGTGCTCTTTATGTTCTATTGCCCCCCTCCCTTCATCACACCAGCTCCATGGCCTGGCCTCCAAATACCAGCACAGCCTTCTTTAGTCAACAAATACTCACTAGCCCAGTGGTGTGCCAGGAACTGTTCTAGACAATGCGATGAACAAGGCAGACAGGTTTCTCATCCTTCAGAAGAAAGATATAACAATAAGAAAATTTTTCAGTGATTTATTTATTTTTATTTTATATGCATTGATATTTTGCCTGCATGTATGTCTGTGTGAGGGTGTCAGATCCTCTGGAACTGGAGTTACAGTTGTGAGCTACCATGTGGGTACTGGGAATTAAACCTGGGTCCCCCAGAAGAACAGCCAGTGCTCTTAACCACTGAGCCATGTCTCCAGCCCACAATAAGCAAAATTTTAAAGCTATGGTGAAAATAAAACTGCCATATATTACAGGGCATGGTGGCGTATTCCTTTAATTTCAGCACTCGGGAGACAGAGGCAGGTCTATGAGTTCAAGGCCAGGCTGGTCTATAGACAGAGTGCCAGGACAGACTCCAAAGCTACACAGAGAAACCCTGTCTCAAAAAACCAAAATAAATAAATAAATAATAATAATAACAAAGCTACACAGAGAAACCCTGTCTCAAAAAACCAAAATAAATAAATAATAATAATAATAAAAGAAAGAAAGAAAGAAAGAAAGAAAGAAAGAAAGAAAGAAAGAAAGAAAGAAAGAGAAACTGCCATCTATTAGGCAGTGTTTTGGGGTAGCACCGCCTCAGGAACCTTCTGCTGACCACACCTTTGCCTGCTCCACAGACAGCAGCTGCTATGGTAACACTAGTCTGTCACAGAATGAGTCTCTAGACTAAGCCTGCATGGAGACATGAAGGCAGAGGCTATCTGGCTACCCACACTGTCTCCAATGGCCTGACAATCCTCAGACACTGGAAGAATGTATTGGATTTAAGTAGGTAAAAAGCAAAGCAGAAAAGGGAGTAGGGCGAGCATTAGAGCCAGGCGCCAGCAGCACACTCTCAAATTGTCTTCCTCACAGTGCCATGAAGGGCAGTGATAACGTTTCTGTGATGTTTCACCAATAGATAAACAGGCTGCTCACACAGTCAAGAGGCTGCCAAGCAGGACCCCAGGGCAGGGCTGTACCCTGAGGCCACACTTTGAACTGCATACCAGCTGGTGCAGAAAAAGGAGTGTCTGCTTCACAGGGGTCTGTTGAAACAGGGTCTTATGTATCCCTGGCTTGAACCCCTAGGTCTTACAGGGTAACCCTGGAATCCTGGTCTTCCTGCACCATCTCCTCACTGTTGGGATCACATGCCTATACCAGCATGCCCAGTGGATGCAGTGCTGAGGATCAATCCCAAGGATTTGTGTATATTAGGCAAAAATTTGACCAAGTGAACTGTCTGATATGCTGAGGCAGGACCTGGCTCTGTGGTACAGGATGCCTTCAGACTGGTACTCTCCCTGCCTCACCTTCCCGAGTGCTAGGATTATAGGCATCCACCACAAACCCCAAATCCAGAAGTTCATTTTTCATTCAAGGTCAACAGCATCAAAGGCTGTGGCAAGGGATAGGAGCACCAGGGAGAGACAGGGAAACGGGAGCTTTGAAGAGAACCTCAGCTCCTTGCATGAGGTGGTAGGGAAGTGAATAGAAAAATGACAATGGACCCAGGGTGTCTAAATTGTCCTGGTCTAGGCACATCCTCAGTTACTAGCAGCCCCTGCCTTTCTTTTTCCCTGGCCCCTGGCAAACAGCCTGGGATAGATAATTCTAAATTCCTCACCTCCATCTGTAGGGACACAGTGGAGCTGCTATCACGGGGGAAGAGGATGAGGTAAGGACATTCCTGTTGGCTTTTTGGGTTCTAGGAAACAAGGGAATAATGTCTAGGTGTGAGCACAACCATGAGAAGGGCCTGGAGACACTTCAGGAAGGCTTCCTTGGAGAATGCTACTTTGGGATAAGAAGGAAAACGTGGGCTCTGTCCCAGGGTGTCCTCAGGCCCCTATGGCGAGGTTTGTCCCCCCCATCAGAGAGGTAAGAAAGCAGTACCAGAGTTTGCCCCAGACCTTTCATCTAAACTAGTACCAACACTTCTGCCTTCTTTATCCCCCTTGGACAGTCCTTTTATAGGAGAGTAGGGATGGACGAGAAAGAGAGGAGGGAGGGGTGGAGGTGGGAGGGAGGGAGGGGAGAAAGAGAAAGAGAGAATATGACAATATGAATAGAAAACATATGAGAAGCCATACTCATCAATATTTGGGACACTGTATAAACCAGGCCTTGGTGGCATTGGCCTGTAATCCCAGCTATTCAGGAAGCTGAGGTAGAAGGATCACAAGTTCAAGACCTGCCTGTACAACTTAGACTGTCTCAAAATGAAAATACAAAAACAAAAACAAAAAAAAATAGGGGACTTGGGAAATGGCTCCATGGATAAGAGGTCTTGTGAAAACAAGAAGAGCCAAGTTCAAATTCCTAAGATTCACATTTTTAAAAAGGCTAAGGCTAGTAAGGCGACTCAGTGGGTAATGACACCACCAGCCCCAACAACCTATTTTGATTTCCCACAGCAAAAAAAGACTTCTAAAAGTTGCCCACACACACACACACAAACATATCTTCAAATAAATAAAATGTAAAATAAATGAAAAGCCAGACATAGCCACATGTGCTCATAAGGCTCGAGCTGGGAGGACGAATGACCAGGCAGCCTAACGTAAACAGGAAGGAAAGCAGAATGCGCAGCGAGGGCATCTTGTCTCACTTCCTCTGACCTCTACATGTGTGTGCACAAGCATGTGTACCCACATACATCTGTGCATATAACATACCCTAAAAAGGTCTGGGCTTAGGTTAGTGGTAGAGCACTTTCCTAAAAGGCACAGTATTTAGGGTTCAGCACACAGTGATAAAGGGCTGGAGAGAGGATGTGGTAGTTTCAATGTAATTGGCCCCTATAATCTCCTAAGTGACACTGTTAGGATGTGTGGCCTTCTTGGAGGAAGTGTGTCACTGTGGGGGCGGGCTTTGAGGTTTCCTATGCTCAGGATACTTGCCAGGGTCTCAGTTGACTTCCTGTTGCTTGCAAGATGTAGGACTCAGCTACTCCTCCAGCACCACTCTGCCAGCATGCTGCCATGTTTCCCGCCATGATTATAATGGACTAAACCTCTAAAACTCTAAGCTGCCACCTCAATTAAATGTTTTCCTTTGTAAGAGTTGCCATAGTCATGGTTTCTCTTTACAGCAAAAGAACCCCTAACTAAGACAGAGTGCTTACTGGCTAAGAGTACTGGCTGCTCCTCCAGAGGACCCAGGTTCAATTCTCAGCACCCACATGACAGTTCACAACTGTCTGTAACTCCAGTTCCAGAGAATCTGATGTCTACTTCTGGCTTCTGTGAGGTCTGACAGTACATTGTGCAGATACACATGTAGACAAAACACCCACATACAGGAAGACTTTTTAAATTTTCATTTATTTATTTTGGTTTTTCAAAACAGGGTTTTGGAGGTTGTCCTGGAACTAGCTCTTGTAGACCAGGCTGGTCTTGAACTCACAGAGATCCTCCTGTCTCTGCCTCCCAAGTGCTGGGACTAAAGGTGTGCGTCACCAACACCCGGAAATGAAGACTTTTTTTTTTTTTTTTTAAAGGAAAGACCTTTAATCCCAGCACTCAGGAGGCAAAAGCAGGTGGATCTCTGTGAGTAAAAGGACAGCCTGGTCTACAGAGTGAGTTCTAAACCAGATGATGGACTGTATATATAGTGAGACCCTGCTATCTCAAAAAGCACTAGTGGGTCTCATGAACATTGTATGGAAGGAAAAGCCAGGCATAAAAGCACAGAGTGCAAGGCATAGTCCTTGCAAATGAGATCAAACCAGAAAGACTGCCTCAGGTTCCAGGACAGGGTTGGCTACATATAACAAGATTGCCCCCCACCCAAAAATAAATAAGGATTAGGGAGATGGTTCAGTAGTTAAATGTGAGTTGATTCCCAGCACCCAAGTAAAAAGGTAGGCAGTGCATGCATAATCCCAGGATGAGTCTATTTCAAAATAATAGTTAAAAATAACTTTGCCGGGTGGTGGTGGCCCACACCTTTAGTCCTAGCACTCAGGAGGAAGAGGCAGGCAGATCTCTGTGAATCCAAGGCCAGCCTGGTCTACAGAGTGAGTTCCAGGACAGCCTCCAAAGCTACACAGAGAAACCCTATCTCCAAAAACCAACCAACCAAATAAATAAAATATTGCCTAGTGTAGTGGTGTACACCTTTAATCCCAGTACTTAGAAGGCAGAGGCAGGCAGATCTCCGAGTTTGAGGCAGCCTAGTCTACAAAGCGAGTTCTAGACCAGAAAGAATCTGTATCAAATGATAGCAATCAAGAGTATACATGTAATTTTACCATTGATTGAAGACAAGGAGCTGGGGCTATAGCTCAAACAAGCTGCATAGCATGCACAAAGGCCCCTGGATTCTGTTCCCCAGCACTATAGAAACCTGACTTGGTGGCCCACTCCTGTAATCCCAGCATTTGGGAGGTAGAGTCAGGAGAATCAGAAATTCAAGGCCATCCTTAACTATATGTCAAGTTTCCAACCAAATAAGGACTTTGGATGGGTATCCCTCTTTTGGTTTTTGAAGTTTTTGCTTTTCCTTTTTATTATGTATGTATCCCTGCAGGCCAGAAGAGGGCACCAGATCTCATTATAGATGGCTATGAGCCACCATGTGGTTGCTGAGAATTGAACTCAGGATCTCTGGAAGACAAGCTAGTGCTCTTAACCACTGAAACATCTCTCTAGCTCTTGTTTTGAAAAGGTTTTATTTATTATGTATACAGTTATCTGCATGCATGCTTGCATGCCAGAAGAGGGCACCAGATCTCATTACATATGGTTGCGAGCCACCATGTGGTTGCTGGGAATTGAACTCAGGTCCTCTGGAAGAGCAAGTGCTTTTAACCTCTGAGCTATCTCTCCAGCTCCCTTGTTGTTTTTCAAGAAAGGGTTTCTCTGTGCAACAGCCCTAGCCATCCTGGAACTTGCTTTGTAGACCAGGCTGGCCTTGAACTTAGAGATCCACTGTCTCTGCCTCCCTGGGATTAAAGGCATGTGCTCCCATACCTGGCTGTTTTTTTGTTTTTTTGTTTTTTATTTTATTTTGGTTTTGAGACAGGTGGGCCTGGCTGGTATCATATTTGCTATGTAAACTAAGATGGCATCCAATTTACAGCTCCTTCTGCCTCTACCACCCAAGTGTTGGGGTGGGTGACAGGAACACACACATCAGGCTTTGTCATGGTTTTAGGTTTGATATAGAATCTCACTCTTGCAGCCCTGAATGGCCTGGAATTCACTGAGTAGCCTGGGCTGGTGTCTTCCTGCCCACTTGTGGTAGTCTTCCTGCTTAAGCCTCCCTGAGTGCTGTGATTACAGGCACAAACCATGTCTATCTATAGAGATCTCTCTGTATTAATTACTTTTCTAGCTGTGCTAAAACACCATGACCAAGGTAACTTAAAATCAAGTTTATTTGGGCTTACTGTTCCACAGGGTTAAAAGCCATGATGGGCCAGGCAGTGGTTGTGCAGACCTTTAATCCCAGCACTTGGGAGGCAAAGGCAGGTGGATCTCAGTGAGTTCCAGGCCAGCCTGGTCTACAAAGCTAGTTCCAGGACAGCCAGGACTGTTACATAGGGAAACTGTCTTGAAAAACAAAACAAACAAGTCATGATGGTGGAGTAGAGGCAGAAGAACAGCATGGCGGGTAGAGCAGGAAGCTGAGAGCTTACATCTTGATGCCCAAACACAGAGAGCCAGAAGTGGGAATGGAGCCTGGCTTCAAAAGCTCAAAGACTGCCCATGACACAATTCTTCCAGCAAGGCCACACCTCATAAATGGACCTAAACAGCACCATCAACTGGGAACCAAGTACTCAAACTTCTTAAGTCTACCCATCAAGCTGACTGCTGGGGCCCTTCTACACTATGCTAAGGGTTAAAAGGCCCAACTGAGACCCTGCCTCTGGCTCAAGGGCCCAAACTGTTTCTATCACTCCCTTCCCTATACAGGACACTAGGAAGAGATGCCAGGCCTTAAGGATGAGCAAGAGAGCTGGTCCCTAGCTCTGACATCCACTTCACACTACTGCTCTCTATGTCTGATGGATATTGACCAGAGTGACTAGGGGCCATTTCAGCAGACCCAATTAGCACTGGACAGTCTGGGAGACACCAAGTGTCCTTTACTCCAGTTTGTGAAAGGTCTGGGCCCAGCAGATGCGGAGGGAAAGTGCCTTTGCTGTTCCTGCCCTCAGTCACCCCTCAAAGCACCTGACCCGTAGCTGCTAAGGAATTCAACTCTTTCTCTCCAGTCTTGTCTTAGCCTGGACTCTCCTCAGCATGTTAAAAGATACAGACACTGAGATGTAGGGCTGACAGAAAGGACCTGGACTGGTCTTTAGGATCCTACTCTGTAGCTCTCCCTACATCCACAGGAAACTGACTCCCTAGGTGATGAAAGGAGACACCAGGATAATTTCAGGATATACCCAATATGGGGCCAAATAATATCCGAATAATATTCAGCAAAATCCAGGAGGTGGAGGACAGGGCTTGGCTCACTGTTAAAAAAAGCAGGCCGAGGGGGGGTGGGTGTGTGTGTGTGTGTGTGTGTGTGTGTGTGTTGGGGGGAGGGGGAGCTGTGACTCAGAGTCCTGGAGGTATGTTTGCTCTTTCTGGGGTACAGCTGTCACCAGATATCCTGAAGTAGCTGGACACAGCTACTGGGTGGAGCAATGAGTGAAGTGTCTGTCAGTGCAGGTGGGTCAACAGTGTCTGCTTCTGCCCCTGCACAGGCACCCCTGCCTGGCCTGGTATCTTAGAATCTAAAAGCCTCAAGAAAGGTGCTAGTTCAGCCATTTGGGATGGAAGCAGGAGAACCTGACAATTAACCCCTTCAGGCCCGAACAGTGCTTCCAGCTTTTAGAGCAACCAGAGGGCTGACACTACAGTTCTCTTCGTTGTAAGCTGGATCCCAGTCATACTCTTTCTCCTGGTGTGACCAGGTGTACCCAGTATCCTCTGGGCCCTTAGTGTGGACTCACCTACCATACCTGACTAAGAGTATGGAAGATGGTTCCTCTTCTGTCCACAGGAAGTTCTGAGCTCCAGTTCCCATACCACTTCCTGCCTCTGGGCCTGTGCCTGGCAGAAGTCCAGCCTAGGGAACAAGCTGTGTAACACTACCAGTTATGCTGCAGAAGTCTGACAGGGCTTACCCTTCCTTTGGGCCTTTTTCTCTGTGAGGAGAGACTTCACAGTCTTTGTTGAAGACTTTTTGATGTGGAATACTCTTGAGTATCGAAGTAAACACAGGGACAAAATTCATCCTTCAACTCACACAAAGAACTGAATTCATGTCTGGGTGTTGATGCCCAAAGTCACAGTGCCTGGCCCAGGGCCTGCTCCAGGATGCCAAGCAGACAGTATTCTGAACATCCTTGACTTCACTCCACAACTTCTGGGAAATGGTACATACACTTGGGCTCCACTTATCCGAGGCTTCCTTGTCAGGAAGGGCGTGGGGCCAGCACAGCCATGTGCCTCCCAAAGCCAATGCCTGACACCCGCCGCCCATGGCACCCAGCATCTGGACACCATCCCAGCATCTGAACAAAGTGTCTTTTATTAATGACATACAAATAAAACTGACACAAAGAGAGATGCTTTCTTTCCCCCTTTGATTCCAGTGATAACAAGTTGCTAGGAAAAAATATATAAAACAAAAAATTTATCTTTCAACTTTCCTCTAGAAAAAAAAAAAAAAAAGAACAAAACTGACAAAAAGGAACCCCACCCCGAAAGTTTTAAAAAGAACCATACACATTTAACAGCAACAAAAATAACCTGAAATGGGATGAGTTCACTAAAACAAAACAACAAAAAAGAAAACTTTAAAAACATTTTAACACATCCTGAACAAAAAACAAAAGAGCCTGGTATAGGAAGCTAGACCTTCTGTTTCTTAAAACCATGAGGATGGAAGATGATGTATGCCTGATAAACCATTGGGCTCAACACCCAAAGGAGATCTGCTGGTCTTGGCCACCGTCCCCCTGGTCCAGTGAGAGATCCTGAAGGGCCCTTGGGGATGTGGCCTGCAGAGGGTGAGCAGGGCAGGCACTGAGCACCATGAGAGCCCTGGTGCCAGTGGACTGGAGACAAGACACTCAATTCACCTCACATGGAGTTATACTTGGGGTTCCCTTTGGTCCCCCTAAGTGGGAGGTATCAGAAATTCATGATCTAAGACAGACAAGGATCAGGGAGTATCTTCCAAGCATGTTCCTGTTTCATGATTCTTGGAAGGAACCTACCAATCCCCTCTGGGCAGCTTCAACTCTCACCAGGGGTACAGCCCCCAGAAGCTAGTAGGCCAGGCAAAGGTAGACCTGTTCCAGTGTAAAGCTGCAAGGCCCTCTCTGAGGCAAGGTTGACAGGGCTAATAATAGCACGGAGCACTCCACAGAGGACAGCTCATGGCAGCAAAGCACCCTCATGTCCAGGCCACCATGCAAGCAAGGATCTGGGTAGGAGGTGACTGCTCCAGGGAGACTTGCCAGGCAGGACACACAGCCAGAGTTAGGCAAGGGGTGAGGTGAGCAGACTGAGGTCAGGAAGTCTCAGAGAGCAACTGCACAAAGGCAAGTTCTTTGCCATGCCTCAAGGCAGAACTCAGGGACGGCAACGGGGAAGTGGCAAGTGTGTGTTCCTAGGTGAGGGTTTGGTTTTGCTTCCTTGGAAGAACATGGCCCAGGTCAGGATGAGTTCAAGTTCTAAGCCTGCACTCTCTTCATCCTTTGAAGAAGGCAGCCACTGTAGGGTGACACCAGTGACAGACAAGCAGCGGTGAGCCACTGAAAGGCATTCCTGATGTATCCCAGTGGGGCCAGGAGAGCGGCACAGGTGCCTCATTGAGGCAGTGAGGACTGGGGCTGGGGAGAACAGGCAAGGGGCCTGCTGCTGGCTGGGGCTCCTCAGACAGGGAGGGTGTAGGGGTAACCCCACCTTCAGAGAGCTATCAGCACCAAGAGTAGGAGGAAATGGTATCAACTATACCAAGAAGGAGGGGTCCTTCTTGGAAGAAGAGGGGCTCCCTGATGTTATTCCCCTTGAGACTGAGAACAGAGGTATCTGGGCTGAAGTGAGAGGTGTGAGAACAGGCAGGACTGTGATTTCCTTCTTGAGTAAAAAAGCTGAGTCAAGATCGTGAGAAATGCAGCAAAATCCAAATGCCCAAAGATGCTGCATCCCTACAGCAAACATGTAAGAGACTGACAGCTCTTCAGGTCTTCTCTGCCTTACTGACAGTGATGGAGACACAGTCTCCCTCCTGAAGTTGGCTGGTCCCCTGAGACTCCACACTGTAGATCTACAAGAACGTGGCACAAACCCCTTTATCTTGGCATCAAAGAGCTACATGGTCTCTGGAAGAGTACTTGGTCCCCAGAGTAAAAATGTCCAAGGGTTGTTGTGTGCCCAGATCTGCATCCAATCTTTCTGGGGACCAGCAGACTCCAGGTCTTTTCACAAAGGTGGGTATGAACATGCCATTTGTCCATATGGGCATGGTGTGTGGGGCCCTGTCAGAAATCCAGCTGCAGACAAGGGACCCACCTTCCATTTTAGGGACCCAAGAGCTAAGCAAGGAGGCAGCCACTGCACAAGGATGGGCTCAGTGGTCAACCTGTCACCCTTCTCACAGCCTGCTCTCCCTCCGTGTTCCCTCCTGGCACTCTGCTTTTCCAGGAGGGGGTGGAAAGGCAGCTGGGGTCACTGCTCCCCAGGGTTCTGTACTCTCGGGGTATACCTGGCTCATTCAGGGCTAAGGCAACCACAGCTCTGGGGTACCTGGCAAGTGGCTTAACACCAGGAAGAGGACAGGCCTAAGGAGAGTGACTTCACTGTAAATGGTTCTGGGAGTTCAGTGGCAACAGCCACCACAGTGCCCGCCTGTGTGGGAATGCTGACTGTCCCCAAACTTGGTCCTCCGGCTCAGAATCTCGTAGGAGCAGTCCTCCCCACAGCAACCAGACATGCTGGGGGAAGAGTCATCAATTTCAAACCTGCAAGACAGACAGGAGGAAGTGTTGGCTGCTGGCTTGGCTCCTGAGCCGAGAACTTCTGCAGCAGTTCTGAGACCTCTGAATTGAGGCACAGGGACCAAGTCAGAGGACACTGGCACACCATCTCACAAATCCCAATCACCGTGGACCACTGACTGGATTAGGGTGAGGACAAGCAGGTACCTGGGAACCAGCAGAAGGAGTACCCTAACCACCCAGAAGGACCACACCAGAGCCTCGCTCCTTACTGCAGTGCCTCTCGGAAGAACTGATAGGCGCCATGATTGTGTTTAAATACAGTTAGCATCACCTTCTTCATCTGTGTGCTGGAAGAGAGCAGAGCGATCCCCTTTTAGAAACAGAATCAAGGGGCTAGAGAGATGGTTCAGCAGTGAGGAACACTTCTGAGTGCTGGGATTAAAGGCATACACCACCACCTCCCAGCCCAAGATATATCTTTAAAATTAAACAAAACAATACAAGGTTTGGAGAAATGTCTCAGGGGTTAGGAATACTGGTTGCTCTTGCAGAAGACCTGGGGTTTAATCTTTAGCTCTGACATGGTAATGCATAACCTTAGTAATCTATAACCTTAGTTCCAAGGAATCTGACACCCTTTTCGAGCCTTCAAAGGTACCAAGCACAAACATGTGCCTATACATACACACAGGAAAAACACCCATACAATCATAAAAATAAAAAACAAGTTAGGAGTCAGTGTTAGTGATACACACCTTTAACTCCAGTACTTGGGAGGCAGAGGTAGGTGGATCTCTTTGAGTCCCAGGCCAGCCTGGTCTACAGAGTTCCAGGATAGCCAGGGCTACACAGAGAAACCTTGTCTCAAATAACAACAACAACAAAACACACACACACAAACAAAAAGTGCATTAACAACAACAAAAAAAAAAAAAAAAAATAGAGAACACAGACTAAGGTCAGGCCTCCTCTCACTCCTTCCATTTTGCCTCAAGAGTCCTCTAGCCCCTCCTCCCTCCTGCAGAGGTCTTGGACACCATGACACTGAGACACTGAGTCCCTCCCACCACTGCAGGTTGCTCAAAGTGCCTCAGTGTCAGGGATCTACCCGATTTACCCTCCAACCTGGAGCCACAGCAATGCAAGGTCATCTTCCTCTTTCTTTCTTTCTTTCTTTCTTTCTTTCTTTCTTTCTTTCTTTCTTTCTTTCTTTCTTTCTTTCTTTCGAGACAGGGTTTCTCTGTGACTTTGGAGGCTGTCCTGGAACTAGCTCTTGTAGACTAGGCTGGTCTCGAACTCAGAGATCCACCTGCCTCTGCCTCCTGAGCACTGGCTCCCGAGGTGTGCGCCACCAATGCCCAGCTCAGTGTTAGCTTTCTGACAAGGTCTAGATGCCTTTTTCCTCTGAGAAAGCCCAAGATCAGTAGCCTCCTTGGTGCAGCTCTTACCTGTTGGCCATGAGCTGCAGGATCTGAATGAGGAACTTCCCTAGGCCTTTCCGCCGCACCTTGCTTTCCAACTGCACTTCGTAGCTAACAAAGAAAGCATAGTGAGTGCATAGGACGTTGCCAAAGAGAGGCTTCAGGTCCATAGGAGGAGCCTGCAGCCCCAGGCAGAGAGGCTCAATGGGCTTCGCCACCTGGTCTCCTCCCCGTCTACCCACTTTAAGGCTCAGTTCCTACCAGTACAGGACTTCATCCCCGCACTCCACATCAAACCGGAAGTGAGAAAAGGCAACTGGGATGGAACTGTTTTCCCAAGCAATGAGGTACCAGGCTCGGTCATCAGTCATTTCCTCCCGTTTCTCTCGATCCTTCCAGCCCCACTCACTTTGCTCATACCTGAGGAGTTGTGGCAATCAGGACGAGGGACCTTGGAAAAAAGCCACAGGGGTGCAGGGCTGCTCTTGGTTGGGCATGCTTACATGGTCTGCATATTGGTTTTGGTGAGGTCAAAGGCCCAATCCACAGTGGCTGGCTCCAATCCAGACACTCGCTTACATTCAATGGAGACATTCAACCTGAGAAGTGGACAGGGAGCCATCAGGCCTTGAGTTCTCACCAGGACAATGCTATTCCTCCCAAACGTTGCCAGGGAAGCATGCCAGTCTCAGGCACCCTACAGGGAAGAGTTAAGTTTTCCAGACCTAGGATTAACAACTGTCATCACAAGACTACCACCCTGCCTCAGGTCTCTTTCCTGCCTCACCAGGAAAGTCTTTATCAGATTCACTCTGTCAACTGCTCTCCTTGGCTACCTCTCTGCTTTCCCCTACCTGCTCAGTCTCCTCAGTTTTCTTCCTTCCTTCTTTCCTTCCTTCCTTCCTTCTTTCCTTCCTTCCTTCTTTTTTGAGACAGGGTTTCTCTGTGTAGCTTTGGAGCCTATCCTGGCACTTGGCTCTATAGACAAGGCTGGCCTTGAACTCACAGAGATCTGCCTACCTTTGCCTCCCAAGTACTGGGATTAAAAGGGTGTACCACTGCCCGGTCTGTTTCCTCAGTTTCTAATAATTACTCTGTTCCCTAACTATTTGTAAGCACTCGTCCTGCTAACTGTATCTCTGCCCCCTCCTTTCACTGGCCCCTCACAGCTACCTATCATCCCTTCAAGGCAGCTGGGTGACCTGGCCTTTCAAGAAGACCTTTCAATACCCCTCCCCCAGCCCAGTCCCACCTGCCTCTTCCTCATGACACCCAGTGGGGACGGACAGCTGATGACATAGGTGGGACAGGGTATAAACCACTGCTCTAGGCATAAAGGTCCTTTGTTCCAATGAGATTGAGAAGAACTAGTCTGAAAGCTTAAACTTTTAAGGAAGAAAAAAAAAATGGGGAGAGGGACAGGAGTAATGACTCAGGAGTTAAGATCAATTGCTGCTCTTCCAGCAACCTGAGTCTGACACCCAGCACCTACATCAGGCCACTCACAATGGCTTGTAACTGGAGCTCCAGAGTCAATTTGATGTACCTGATTTCAGGACACTTGCATACATACAATTTAAAACAACTGAAACAGCCAGGTGGTGGTGGTGGTGGTGGTGGTGGTGGTGGTGGTGGTGGCGGCGGCGGCGGCGGCGGCGCACGCCTTTAATCCCATCGCTCAGGAGGCAGAAGCAGGAGGCCAGCCTGGTCTACAAGAGCCAGTTCTAGGACAGGCTCCAAAGCTACACAGAGAAACCCTGTCTCGAGGAAAGAAAAAAAGAAAAAAAAAAAGAAACATGCACAAAAAAAGGTATGTGTGATATGTATGAAAGAAGATTCATAGAGAAGACAGAGGACAATTTTGGGAAACACGTTTCCTTCTTCAACCACAGGCTATCTGGGGATCAAACTCAGGTCATCAGGTTTGTGTGGTAAGGACTTACCTGCAGAACCACTTGACCAGCCTTTTTGTCTGTTTTGAGACAGGATTTCTCTGAATGGCTCTGGCTGTCCTGGAACTTACTATGTAGACCAAGCTGGCCTCAAACTCAAGCATCCACCTGCATCTGACTCCTGAGTACCAGGATTAAAGGCATGCACCACCACCAGCTAGCCCCCCCCTTTTGATACAGGTTCTCACTATGTACCCCAGACTAACCTTGGACTCATAAGCCTTCTGTTTCAGCCTCCCAACTAAAGTGATACAGACTCCTGTCTAAAATTAACCCTTTAAGAACTTTCACATCAGCATCTCTCAAGAGCCTATGACACACTTTTTCACAACGAATGCCCTGGCCATCTCTGCTGACTAGCAAGATCTTAGACTCTTGCCTTGGAAGAGCCTTCCTCCACAAGTACCAACACATTAGAACCATCCAAATCCAGCTCTGTACCTGCTAGCTAGGAAATACCCTAAGTCCAGCCTACAGTAATCTGCATTCTTTTATTTATTTATTTTTTTCATTTTATGAGACTGGGTCTCTCCATGAAGCTCAGGCTGGCCTTGAATCAGTATGCAATCCTCAAACTCATAGAAAGTCCCCTGCATCAGCTTCTCAAGTGTTGTCTCAGGCACGCTGAAAGAGGATCACAGCTATGGGAACCATATGAAAAAGCAAGGCACTAAAGCACTAAAGGCACTGTGGACCCCATCAGAGCAGGTCCAGATTTTTGGAAGTCAATAGAAACACAGCACATGAAAACACAAAGAAAAATCATAGACAAGATCCCTAAACCATACCATGACTTCCCCAGAAATGGAATAACAAACTTGCTATGAGTACTGTCATATGGCCGGGTGTTGGTGGCACACACCTTTAATCCCAGAACTCGGGAGGCAGAGGCAGGCGGATCTCTGTGAGTTCAAGCCAGCCTGGTCTACAGAGCAAGTGCCAGGATAGCCTCCAAAACAATACAGAGAAACCCTGTCCCTCTAAAAACAAACAAACAAACAAACCCCACCTCCAAAAAAAGCCATAGGGCTTTGGAATCTACACAGCTGTTCCTCTCTTCCTTGTTTACATTCTACCTGGGTTTTTGCTCATCTTCTCAGTATACCTCTAGCATCATCCTATTTGACAGGTAAGAAACCAAGGTTTAAGGTTCCTGAGTGGCTTATTCCAGGGGCATAATGCAAAGTCCAGCCACTCTTCACCATTACAGAGAAACTATTACCTATGACCCTCCTGAAGCAAGCCAACACAGTATAAAATACCACCCAGGACAGAGGGGAAGGCCTGCAACCCAAACCTGAATGGTAGCTGGGACAGCAGTCACAACAGCCATACTTACTGTCAGCAGGCTCCATGGACCAGATCTTTAGACCTAACCCTTCTAACTCCTATGGGATGAGCCATTAGACCCCAATCTTTCTTCTTTTTCTTTCTTCTCTTTTGCTCCTTGTTTTGAGACACTGTCTTACTATATAGCCCAGGCTGGTCTCAAACACATGATCTAGTTGCCTCTCCAAGCCAATTTTTTGTTTGTTTGTTTTTTGAGACAGGGTTTCTCTGTGTAGCTTTCGAACCTATCCTGGCACCCACTCTGGAGACCAGGCTGGCCTGGAACTCACAGAAATCCACTTGCCTCTGTCTCCCAAGCACTGGGATTAAAGGTATGCACCACCAGCGCCCGGCACCAAGCCAAGTTTTAAAACCCATTTCTGATTACAAAACCGAGGCAGAACAGACTAAGTAATTATACACTGTATACTCAAGGAAAAACACTTAGTTGGGAATCGAAAGCTCCTTCGGATGCAGGGGGCACACTCTATAAACTCAGAACCCTCATTCAAACTTGCTGAGCTCCAATTTCCCAATCATAAACTTGACAGTAGGCCGACAAGTTTCCAAGTTTCATCATCATCATCTTTTTATCCCCGGGACAGGGTTTCTCTGTGTAGCTCTGGCTATCCTGGAACTTGCTCTGTAGACCATGCTGGCCTCGAACTCACGGAGATTCGCCTACCTCTGCCTCCAAGGGCTGGGATTAAAGGTGTGCATCACCGACTGGCTATCTGATTCTTTGAACAGAGAAAATTATAAGTCCTAAAGGACTATCAGTCCTCACTTGTGCAACATCAATTACACACAATCTTTGTACACCTACCAATCCCTGCATTACCTTAACTGGGAGATTGCATCAGCAGGGGCACCAGTTGTTGCTTTTTCATAACCGATGAAAACATGCAAAACTCTGGAGGAGTGAACGCCCAGGACTCCCAGGAGACAATTATTAGGAATGCTAATAAGCACAACTCACCCATTTCGGTCATATTTCTTGAAGACTGGGAATGCCTCCAGAGGGTCTCCAAGCTGTGGAGAGAGAGTAGACAAAGATGAAGGAAGACACTGGTGAGGAGGTGTGAGACCTCTGCCCCCCCATATGCACACACACTCACCGCCCCCACACACAATTAGGAAAAAGACCATGTGAAATATAACATGAAGGCCACCATCAAGGTCAAACCCTTAGGCTCAGCCTAAAAATTCCCAGGCCCCCTCAAGAGCTGTTTCACAGCTGCTCCTCCTCTGACTACAGCCCCAGGGACCAGGCAGCTGAAGCCTCGGGTAAAGCAGGGCTTACAGCACCCATGGGTAGCCAGTAACCTTTGAAAGAAGAAAGGGTTAAGAACACCATGTGCCAAGTCTCATGAGATTTCCTCACTCAAAAGCAAACTAGCAAAACAAACCAAAACAAAAAGCAACTCCCCAAATTCCATATCAGGAGGACCTGTAGCCTCTTCATACTTCCCTCAGCACCTGAACCAATAGGTCCTCCTCCCAACTATGCCTGGCCATAGGCCTGTGTGTACAGTGCCGCAGATCTGCCACTGGGTGGCGCCGGGATGTCAAATAAAAAAACAAGCTAAAGTTGAGGGAGGAACTAACTAAAAAGGAGAATCACCCTGTTGGCAGCATCCACTTTGGCACAGACAGCATCCATGGCCGCTCGCTCCTCCAACCGCTTCTGCTTCTTCTCCTTGGCCTTGCTCGACTTTCTCTGCAACAAGGAAAACATTACCACTAGAAGGGCTGTGGCTAACTCCCTCAGAGGAACACAAGGGGCCTTGCACCCATTGACATGGAAACCTGGGTGTGTGACCCAGCAGGGAATACTGTTCCCTCATGGTCCTGAGGTTAAGAAGGAGGAGAGGCAGGGATCATTAGACTTCTCAACTTCCTTCCAGGAAGAGCACTCAACAGCTGTGTGATGCAGGGGTGTGCCAACCATCACCACCCTACAGCCTGTTGGCCCAGCAGTGATGCATATTCCTAAGGAGGAAGCACCCCACTTTTGGGAACATTTAGGGGAGCTTCCTGGGATCTGAGGTGGCTGCAGACCACTGTTCCTTTATGTCTTCAGACTGTGACAGACACAGCACTATGGATTCAGAATCATATGCAAATGAAGGCCAGGGCACATTGGCTTCAAGACAGCATAGAGCCACTCCCAGAAGCTCTGCCCAGCAAATGCAGATGAGTGGCAGGCACACCATGCACCTGTTAATTACAAGGCTGGACTGAGGGCCTCATGGGTGGGTTCACTTCAGGGCAGAGGTGCTCATGGTGAACAAAACCAAGCTGCAGGGGCATGATAGCAGAGACAGGCAAAGACAAGTTGCATCTTGACCAGACCCTATTTGAAGACTAATGTGGGGCTTTCTCAAAATCCCTCCTTCGTGTGTGTGTGTGTGTGTGTGTGTGTGTGTGTGTGTGTCTCATTTTGTAGTTCAGACAAGTCTCCAACTCAACAGTAATCGTTCTGCCTCAGCCCCCCAAGTCTAGGATTAAAGGTGTGAACCATGGCCCCAACTTCTTATCAAAGGTGCTTGTTCCTCTTTTCCTGCCAGAGTCTAGAACTTAGGAGCCTCATGCTCTGGTCTGAGGGGAAGGTTTCCTTCCGATACCTGCCTGGTGCTGTCATGACTAGGGCTCCAGAAAGGTGACAGCTTCTGTTCACTCTCCAAGAAGGCAGCCCATATCTCCTGACTCCAGCCCTGCCTCTCCTACAGCTCACTGGAAAGAGATTAAACAACACCAATGCCAAAGTGACCGTGGCACTGCCTGGCCCTAGGACAAGGCGCTGAACAATCCACATTCACATGGATTGAAAATCAGTTGTCAAACAGCTGGGCAAGTTCCAAAGCATAATTTCAGCTTGGGTATTCTAAGGACCAACATTGCTTAACTTCTGCTTCAGCAACCAGAAAGTAAAATAATTAGACACAGAACACAAGATTCTGACACGCACAATGCCAGCAGCATCTACTACTTCCCGGCACTATGCCAGGAGCCAGGCTAGTTCTCATGCCTCACCTCCCCTGACAAAGGCATATACAGAGAGTAGAGCAGGATTTTGTCTTTGTGGTGCTGGGGATGGAACTCAGGGACTTCTTTATGCCAGGCCAGTGATCTAACACTTAGCTACACCCCTAACCTGAGGCTGCTTTCACAGAGATGCAAAAGGGAATGGAAGTGGCTCCTCTCTCAGACAGGTTCCAGTATTCATTTTTCCTCTGGGAATCTGGGCTTCAGACAACACTGAAATTGGTTAACAAACACTTTCACAGAATACATGAATACCAGCCTCAGATGGAAGCCATCACTTACCTTTACACATGGAGAAACTGAGGCTCAAGGGAATATGACTCACACACAGTTCCCCAGGCTCTAAGTAGCCAAATGACAATAACCTCAGGGGCCAGGCTACAGATGCAGTGTTTGCGCAGCAGGCCACCTGTCTCCCAAGGGCAGAAGCACATCTAGACTTCAACTCAGTCACCAAACAAACCTCCTCATATCCTGTAGAGACAAAGCTGGAGGCCTCAAGTGCTCTCAGGCAACCACTCAGCAACTCATTTCTTGATGCCTATCTACCTGGGAATCAATGTCCAATGGTGTCACCCTATACCCTACCTCCATGCTAAGGCAGAAGCAGGGCAAAGGAAAATGAAGAGACGAAAAGTCTCCAGAGCTTCACGATGGTGTATCAGAAATGTGAGCTTTCCTTCAACCAGACCAGGCTATGCCTCACCTACCACCCCCAAATGACCATCTGAGCATCTCCAGGGAGACTGGGATGCAATGTGTCTTCACCTTCACAGGAGATATAAGCCCCCTTCTCCACTGTGCCAAGCCAACACTGTTGGACTGTTGGGACGGTGTGGGGCAGGAGTAAAGGTGATGCAAGGCAAGTGTGACTCCCAGGCCCCCAAAAGTATGAAATCTGGGTTGGTTCCCTCCACAGTACCTCATTTCTGAACACAGAACATAGCTCCTAAGACTTGTTACACAGGCTGACTGGTGAGCTAGGCAACCCTCAAATTGAGGTCCAAGGTTGCCACCATGGAGACTAAGATAATGAAAACAATCCTTAAGCACTTGGCTGCCAGCACAGAGTGAGGGGTGGATGCAGGCTGGGCCACACAGGCAGGGGCTCTCCCTCAACCCCAGCAAGCACCAGTTAGAGTGGTCTCCCACTGTTCCAATTAGCTTCACTACAGCCTTATGGAGGTAAGGGTGTCCTGCAGGGACCAGGGGGAACTTGCCTAATTAAAATGGGAAATAAGCACAGTCAACAGTAAAGCTCATTGTGGTTAAGTGTCTTTCCCAAGGGAGCTTTATATAATAAAAAGAGTGTGGATTTGAGTTAAGAGACCTGGATTTGATTCTCAGCTCTTTTCACTTAATAGCTGTGACTTTAGGCATGTTACTTAAAACCCTTCTGGCAAGTTAATCTGTCAAAACCTCAGTTTCCTCAACCATAGAATGGAGCTGCTATACAGATAAAATGCTACAGACAGAAACTTTTTGATTGCACCTGTGCTAGGATCCAACCTCATTAATGGCAAGGAACCGAATTACACTGGGCTATATCTCAGCTTTAGAAATGGTCTGTTTACAGGAACCCACTAGTGATGAACACTCTGCTGGTGCACTTTTTCCAGGGTAAGGTCAGCCCAGGTTAGTCCCTAACTTGCTATGTAGCTAAGGATGACCTTGAACTTTTCCTCCTCCTATCTCTACTTCCTGAGTGCTAGAATTACAGACTTCTGCCACGTCACTCAGTTTATATAGTGCTAGGGATCAAACCCAGTGCTTCATGCGAGTTAGGCAGGCATTTACAGAAAGCTAAATATCCCTAGCCCTCTGCCACTGCTTTTCTAAAGAGGATAGCTCAGTTGTGACAAGAAACCTGAGGCTTAGAGAAGCTACTAACTCAAGCCATAGAGCCAACAGTGTTCTGAGAGATCTTACCAACCTCCCTTGAACTCAGCTCCACCATACAGGGGCGGATCTACTTACTTACCAGTGTGCGCATCCAGTGCTCACAAACAGGACGCCCCAGATTCAAATTTAGGCTTGAACCATAAAGTCTATGTCCCTCTCACGACATCACACGTGGCTCATGTTAATACTACATAAGTACTACTTTTGATGGGTAGCTGCAGATCTGATCCCCTTTACTATTCTTGTTAAAGCAGTAACTCTACACAGTTCTAAGAGGCCCAAGAATCACGAAGAGAAATAAAAAAGAAAAGACAAAAGAATACAACAACCAACACATAAGTGACTGCTCCCAGAGAAGATTTGACATCACTTAGGTTTCAGTGCCAATGCTTCTGTCCAGCTGGTTTTTTGCAATGGGAGAGAGAGCTAATGTTTACTCAAATCCAAGCAGTTGGTGCACAAGAATCTTGGAAAAGCCAGGCAGTGGTGGCTCATGCCTTTAATCCCAGCACTTGGGGGGCAGACAGAGGCAGGAGAAGCTCTGAGTTCGAGGCCAGCCTGGTCTACAGAGTGAGTGGTCTACAGCCAGAGCTACAGAGAGAAACCCTGTCTCCAAGGGGGTGGGGGTGGGGGGAAGAACCTTGCAGAGGCATTTCACCTGCTGCCACTCTCAGTTGGTCTGAGGTAAAGAAGCAGAGTACTACCTCCTGTGGGGATGGGGTGGGGGGCACATGGAGCATCAACTTCCAGCCATGCAGGTGGGGCGTGAGGGTGGGACCTGATGAAAGTAATGGGAAGGACTCCAGATCTAAGCCAGTGAAGGTTAAGTGATTCAAGTCTCTGCTTTTTTAGGCCAGGAGACACTCTAAAAGGAGCTATGTGAGAAACATCTCCAAAGTATGAGCAATAGAGTGGAGCCCAAAGGAAGCAAAGTCTGCAGGGTATCTGGGTCCTACTACTTCAGTGCCACCAATGAGGAAGTAGAGAACCTGAGGCATGTTGCCCTTCTTGCTGATTCCGAGCAGTTACTGAGTAATACTAGAAACTTGGTTTTTATTTAGTTTCAACAAAACCTGGGGCCTAGGATCACTTACTAAAATCTAAGTTAAACATGCCAAGGTCTCTAAGCTTCATTTTCTTCACATTAGGTAAACAGCAGTAAAAATTACTGCCTGAACTATGCCAAATGCTTTGGGAGGTTTGGGTTTTGTTTTTGATGCTGGAGGTTGAACTCAGGGCCTTATACATGCTAAGCACATACTCTATTACAGAGCTATATAACCTCAGACCACCAAGGTTGGTTTTGACACAGGCTTGATTATTTTCATCTGATAAACTGATTTGTTTGTGAAAAAGGAAAAAACTGGGTTACTGACAAACCCAAGGGGATAAAAATAGCACCAATCTATTTTAGATCGCTAAAGTGAGATTGATATACAAGCAAAATAGCAGCCACTGCTTATAAGGCACCTAGTGGGCTATTTACATCCATTATCCTGTCCAATCTTCACCACTATCCTAAGAGGAAGGTCCTGTGCATCACACAGATGGGGAAAATAAAATCAAGAAAGGCCTCACAACTGGCAATGTCAAGCCGCTAGCCATCGAAGAAGGAACTGTCACTGAGTCATTTGGTTCCAAAGTCAGGACTCCCCAACGGTGTTGCAAATTCCACACAAACCCTAATAAGCCAAGATCAGGAAGGGCCAGTTTCATTTTTAGGAGGCTGAACTCAACAAACAAGAGACTGCTTTTGCCCAACCCTCAATCTGTACATTCCAGGAAAGGACATGGAAATGCTTCTTCTTACTGCCAGCGCTTAACAGGTGATTACTAGGCATCATGGCCGGGGTAGTCACTCCATCCTCTCTGCTCATCTGTACACCTCCACCCCCTCCCCCGTTGCAGCCACCTGCCGTGACATGACTAAGAACAATCCAACCTTGTAAGACCCACTTTACTGCAGCCACGGGCTGAACGGGCAGGCCTCAGTGGGAAGGAAGACTATATTTAATCAGCAGCAGCAGGAGGAAGCTGGTAACGACGGTTCAAAAGTGTAGTGGAAGCGGCTGGGCTGAGGCTTGAGCAGAGGGAAGCAGATTCCATTGGGGCTGCAGAGACGCGGAATGGGGTCCAGCGCCCAAGCCATTGTCAGCGTGACCTTGGCCGTGAGCCTTCTTGCCTCCCGGCCTCAGTTTCCTACAAGTTCAAGTTGCAGGAAACCGCTGGGACCGTGACAGTCAGATGATGGGTAACCTCATGGAGCAAGGGGCTAACCTCAGGGGCGCCACAGGGCTCGGAAGTGGGGAGGCCCACCAGGAGGTCAGAAAGACAGGAAGGGGCACGAGGGGCGCGGAGAGCGGAGGGGAAAGGGAGAAGGGGATCCAAAAGGATTGCTGGGCTAGGCTCAACCCGGGGGCCCTAACAACAGGGGACTCTGGTCAAGTGGGGGCCGGGGGTCACGTGAGGCTGGAGGGGGTCAGGGTCACGTGAGGGGATTCAAGAAACAATGAGGACGCGGAGGATGAAGAGCATCTGTGTACCTCCCACTACTTCTCCAGCCTCACTTACCCCCATGGTTGCGGCGGCGGCGGCGACCCTCGGCTCCTCCTTCTCGCACTTGCCGGTAGGGAGGCGGCAACGGCGGCAGCCGAGCTACAGCGGAGCGGCGGGCCAAACACTGCGCATGCGCCTCACGAATCCCTCGCGCGACCTAGCGGCCCCGCGCCGGCGCAGAACCGGACAGGGGTGGGCTGCAAGCGCGAAGGCGCGCAGGTGGAGCGGTCTCCGTGCGCGCGGAGGGCCTGAGACCAGAAAGGCGGGAGTCCCGGCGGAGCGTCGCGTTAGGAATGACGCGCACGCGCAGGCTCCGCCCCTTCGTCTATACGCGTCCGTAGCTATGGAAACGACCACGCGGGGCAGGAGGGCGCGCGCAGGCCTGGAGCGGCGCGCCTCGTAGAGGCTCAGTGGGCGGGCGCGCGGGCGCGCGGGCGCGCGGGCACTGCTAAGTCTCTGAAGGCTTTCCGGCCTTCTAGAAGCTGATCCTCGGCATCGCGTGCCTTTTCTAACCAGTCATGCTATACTCATTCATCCTGCTCAACATTCTTACGTACAGCATTAGCGAGCACCTACACTGTGCTGAACCCAGAGGACACAGAAGTTACTGCAGTCCTAAACTTCTCTGTTTAAAGGGAAAATGGGCGTGCAACTACTGGGTCAGAGTTGTTTCAAATAAGACCTCAGGTGTCCTGGGTCGTATTCATTTCAGTCTGTGCAAACACCTGGGGAGTGTGACCTTTGCATAACCTTGCATGGGAATCACCTGAGGATATAGGGCAATTTGCAAACTCCTAGGACTAACCCTGGAATCTGGGGTTTTTCTTGTGATTTTTGTTTTGCTTGGTTTGGGGTGTCCCCCTTCCCCCGCCGCCGCCCGGTACTGAGGGTTCTGTCACTGGGCTACACCCCCAACTCCAGTCTTCACTGGTGCACAAAAAAAATTAGAGAGCCAGCCCTCCAGACTTAAACTTCATGGATTTTTCAGATTTTAATCATTATCCTACGTTTATTACTCAGAAAAGTTGTAGCCCTGGCAACATTCAGTGAGTGCCTACAGCACTGTAGGCACTGTTCTGGGCAGCAAAGAAAACAATGCCAAGCCAGGTGTCGTAGCTCATACCTGTTATCCCACACTGTAGAAACAGAGGAAAGTGGATTTCTGGAAGTTTGAAGTCATATTGGTCTATATAAGTTTCAGGCCAGCCAGAGATACTTAGTGAAGCTCTGTCTCCAGAAAAGAAAATGGAAATGAGAAGAGAAGGAAGGGATGGCTCAGAGGTTAAGACCACAGGATGGATGCTCTTCCGGAAGACTGGGCTTCACTTCCCTGCACCCAACGTTTTGGCTCACAGGTGTCTGTAATACCAGTTACAAGATCTGACGCCCTCTTCTGGTCTTCATGGACACTGCATGCACGTGGTGCATAGAGATACATTAAGAAAACATAAAATAAAAATAATTTCTACGTGTAACAGTTCTGGCTGTCCCGGAATTCACTTTATAGACCAGGCTGACCTCGAACTCACAGAGATCTTCCTGCTTCTGCCTCCCAAGTGCTAGGATTAAAGGCATGTGCCATCAGCTGGGCGTTCTGTGAGTTCGAGGCCAGCTTGGTCTCCAGAGCGAGTGCTAGGATAGGCTCCAAAGCTACACAGAGAAACCCTGTCTTGAAAAACCAGAGAG